ACCGCGGACACCATAATGGTGCAATTTTGTTATTAGAATATCGTGGTCAACTGTATCAAAAGCTTTCTTCAAATCAATGAAAATTCCGCAAGTATACCTTCCCTGGTCCATATTTTGGTTAATTTTATGCGTTATATCAATGATTGCCTGTTCAGTGTTATGATGCGCTCTAAAGCCATACTGGGAATCAAACAATAGATTGCATTTATCGACGAAACCCATTAGACGGGTGTACATTAATTTTTCAAATATACGGTTGAATGTAGATAATAAAGAGATCGGTCGGTAATTACCAGTCTCAGTTTTATCATCAGCTTTATGAACGGGAATTATATTGGCTATTTTCAACTTGTTAGGATAAATACCTGTTTCAATTGATTTGTTCATAATATCAGACAGTGGTCCCGCTATGAATTTAGACGCTATTTTCAAAATTCGTACAGGGCAGGAGTACAGGCCGGACGCTTTGTTCTTAGGTAAAGCAATGATTTCTTCTATAATATCATTAGGAATAACTGGTAGAAAAGAGAAAGTAGTAGAGTTAGGTTGACCAAGATATTAATGTTATGAATAGTATACATACCTACAGGGCAAAAAATATTTCCAATCAATCCATTTGGCAATGCAACTGATTGGAATTTTAGGGCATGAACACGTTTGTGCCCATTGTAGACCACTCTCTGTTGACCTGGTCGACATATGGGTCGTACAGTTCCGTCAATGAAACCAAAGCAGTTTTGAAGTGGCGAGCCTTTAGCTGATATAGCATCGGCATAACTTTGAAGGGCTTGGGGGTTGAGTATGTAATGATTCCACTGAGTGATTAAATGACCATAGTTATCATAAATAAAATCCATTGTTTCGTTTGTGATCATGAGGAAAATGAGGAATGATATCGCTGTATCTACATGGATACACCATTCGCTTTAACAGCATGCACAGAGCCTCAGTGCTATCACATATACTTCTTTGTGGGCATCTCGATAATTGAGGGAGTTCCAAGACTTGAGCAAGACGAGGAATGTCTGCTTTTTCAACTCGAAACTCTGCTTTGCATTGGTCTGAATTATAGTTATCCAAATCAAATGGCTTGTAGGATTTTTAGATTTGTAGCAGTCGTAAAGCAAGATAAATTCTTYGTCTGAAATAATGTTATCACAGTAGCTTAAAAGAAGTAGGTCTCGAATATCTTTAAAGCGACTCATCGCCAAAGTGATAAAAGTTAATACAACCAAAAGCTACTGCGGCGAAGCCAAAGCAAATTGTAACGTACGCGTGYTCGTCAATTTTGCTAAACATTCAACTTTTGGCTGGAACGGGAACGTCTCGTACCCACTCCCCTCTCGTACTCTGGCGTTGCCGTCTTGCGAAAAGGTGCTAAAGGTCACTATTGCTAGACCTGCAACAGTGTAGCCTGCATGCAGGCGTTCCTCGTTGGGGGAGGAGCGAAGAAATGGGAGGGAACGCCTGCAGCAGCCCATTGTTCTTTTGAAATACTCCTCCTAATTAGTTATGCGTGAATGCATTCGTAACTGTCAAAAAATAACCAATCAAAATGATCAAAAATATAACGGAAGTGAACTTACACTTCCGTTAAAAACATTCGCCTCACGTGGAAAAGTTTTCGAAATAAAAATAACTATGTAGATACTGTAGATCCACGCGAATGTTGCAGAGTCTGGAATTGTGATTTTAAAGTACAGTTCGGCGTGTCAGGAAAAAAAGGAAACATATCATTCGAAAACATTTTTAAACCTTCTTGAAGAAAAGATTCTCTTGGAGTTATTTTGGCGAACGTATGTCAAGAGGTGGGAATTCCAATAGCAAAAGATACTTCAAAGTCCGACAAAGTATGTAACCCATGTGGAAAAAAGATAAGAAATTTGGGAAGTCTTTATAAATTTCTTTGTGAACGTCTAATTGGTTCTAGCGATAGCAGTACTTTGGAGAAAAATACTAGTAAGAGACAACTAGAGACACCCAACAACACAGACCTTTGTGGAGGCAAGCTAAACATATACATGCTGCTTCATCTCAAACCAAAAGATCATCCCCGTCTAGCAAAAAAACTCTTGATTTCAATGAGAGAACAAGAAGAGAAACATTGTGTTAAATACTAAAAACTCTGGTCGTGAACTAGAACTTTATTACAGCAATCTTACAAGACAAAACATGGCCGTTCTCTCTCGAGCACATGGTTCCGCGCGCATGCGCGTAACGACTGACGTGAGCATAATGAATATATAACACATTGTCTTCTTCTTATCTAAATATTGACGATTTACCAAGTGATGGATTCCAAGTGAAGGTGCTTATACGAAACCCAAATGGCGATGTTGTTATGAGAATCCCGYGTGACGAAGAAACAAAATCCCTTATCAAACACCTCTCCCTTTCCAGCTGGAGTACTGCTTCGAAGATCATAATGAATCACAAAATGCTTTGTTCAGAACTTYMTCCAGAATTGGGAAAAGCTGTCAGCAATGAGTTTCGAGAATACCTGTCTTCTGATAGTGTTTTACAGAGCACGGATCCCGAAGACATAGCAAGTTTCAACAATAAGATACTGATAGAGGAAATCCGTTGCACGCTTGAACACGCACCAGGAAGAGGGAGGCCAGACTGATGACTCCATCCAGCTTGCTCTGAAGTACGAAGTCAGGTTAGTAAGGGCAGGTGTCGATACGGCATTTGTATTTTTTTTGTTAGAATAAAGCGAAGGAAAAAAAATKGAAAACTTGAAAGATTTTACCATTCTAGCTTTGCTTGACACTGCTGTCGTTATTTTATTGTGTGTACTCTTATCGACAATGGATATCAACCAATCAGAATACGAGAAAATAAGTGATTCATAGCTTACCCGAGAATTTCCAAAAAGTGGAAAGTATTTCGACTTTCGACAAAACGAGTGGCTCGAAGGATGCCAGGTAAAATATGTACGATTTAATTCATCAACATAGTTCGATTACACTTCTACAGACTTCTTTTTTTTCCGCATGGCCTGGAGACACGTGACCCCGAGTCACGTGTCTTTACATAGGTATACCGATACATTACTTCTAATCATTCTCCCCCGTTTCGATGGGCCTAGTGCCCATCTAGTAATATGTAAACTCAACGTCTAATATCCGTCTGAAGGATGTCCTGATTGGTATGTCAATGGCCTACTGTTCATAAGTGATTCTGCTCCTGTGAAGGCTGTCATGAGCTCCTCATCTGTAATATCCGCATTCGATAATATCCCATAGGTTGCTCTTTTTGCTGTCTTTATCAAGGTCTCGTGGACTCCTCCAAAGTGATGCACCAATGGTGGGTTGAAATGCCAACAAATCCCCTTGTTTGCTGCTGATTTCTTTATCTTTTCCTCATCTAAMTGTTCTACAAGTTCGCGTAGCTCTCTTTCTCCACCAATAAAGTTACTGCCATTGTCAGATAGTACTTCCACAGGAAGGCCTCTTCGATTCACCATGCGATAGAAAGCATTTAAAAATGCATCCAGGGGCGGATTTAGACTAGTTCAACTAGTTTCCGGAAACTAGTGAGATTTTTCAAAAAAATAGATGTAGTTGAAAGTGATACTTCAAATAAAATCATATAAACGAAAAGAATATGGAGTATTCACTGGAGTATTTTACCGGTAGATGGCAATACGATCGCTTTGGCCGCCATTTTGAAAGTTGTACCACAGGAAACCCACATTTACTACTTGGAATATAAACTTCTTTGTTCTTGTGGGAGGGGACCCATCGAAATGTTTGACACAAGACTGTCGATCACGAGCCCAGAGTCCCCCAATGGCTCTTAGACAGCGGACTATCGCTTGAGAGTGCACTAGTGCAAAATGACGTAGCACTGATTCACATAGGAATCCCGACTGGTTTCCAGATAAATTCTTGTTCACACAGGAAACCCGAAAGCTATTTTCAGCCAATCAGGATCGAGCTTTGAGTTTCTGTGTATCATCATAACAACAGTAGATCAATTTTGATTGGCTAAAAAGCCAGAAACCAGTCCAGAAACCAGTGACAAAAGTATAAATAGACTAGGGTACCCTAGTGAGGTCCTCTCAGTGTTCCGTTAGACTCTCTGGAATCGCTTCGAACACTGTTACAGATTTCTAAAACAACACTAACTGAGCAAATGGAAAAAAGATCGAGGCCAGAAATACTACCAGCACTGTTTAGATCTGTTGCTCTTGTGTCGGAATGTGGATAAACCTCTCGTGAAACTGTTCAAAGGAAATTCCTGTAGTATACATTGAATTCGCCAAACAGATTCGGATTCATGCATGTGAACATTCTTCGTGCTTGGTATGTATTGAAAATAATTTCTTTTGATTTAAAAAGAATGAAAACGCTTGAACCGAATAAGTTCATATTAAACACAGTTAAGAATTGATAATTTAAATTCGAAATACAATTTTCTGGAATTCGGTTGCTAGCGTCATCTACCGCGGCGCATTGCCGTCCCTTGTGTATGTTAACAAGTTGGCTGAATCGGCTTAACTAGTTCATTAGTTTATTAGAATCATTTTGCCGACAGAAAAAAAAACAACATTTCACATTTATTTAAACA